TATTTATTAGAAGTAAATGAATGATTACGTTTGATGGAAAATCTGTCATTGTATAGATTTATTTTAAGCTCAATATTTTGAATATCGGTTGGGTAGAAGCCAAATGAACTAGGAAAATAAATTCCCAATCTCCAATAAGAAATATACAAGGAGGAAGTTGCTTTCGTGCATAACTCAAAATATTTGTCAGATAAATTAATGCCAATACTTGATTGCAAATCTGTACGTATATACCTTTAATTCATGGCCAAAATTATGAAAATCAGCCAGGTAGAAGGGCCGAACCAACTTGGAAAAGAAAAACCAATTATTTTTAATATATAGGTTTGTGTTAATTTTAAATATTATCATTTATTTGCTTCTTAAAAGTGATTCTATCTTCGTATTTATTGGTTTATATTTAAATTAATAAAACCGTACACAATTGTCTTACTTTCTAACCTCAATATTCAAGTATACTCAATTTCATCCAAAGTTTGCGGGATTTGAGGTAACCACGGTACCAAAGACTTTGGATAATCGAGAGTGTTACTGTACTCATACATTATGATAAAATAATTTTGAGAGTCACGGTTACGGTGTAGCTGGTTAATTAATGGGCAATGGAAAAACATTCAAAATTCTATTTAAGAGGTCTTATTTCAATATATAGATTTGTATTGAAGTATATTGATTATACCTCGCAATACCAAACTACTGTGCATGTTTAACAGTAGTTATGTAATTTCGGTAGCTACAAAAATGCGGAACTTCTTCTCTTACCAATTTTGTTTCTGGGTATACAAAAGTATACCCATATGTATATGTATAAAAAACTAATTAGTAGTTCGTTTATACTAAAAATGATAGATATAACTAATGTTAATCTCATTTTTATCACATTGTTATAGGTAATTTTCAGTCATGGGAAGAAGTATACAATTTCCTCCAAGTTCAAGGAAATCCATCTTTGGATATTCCAATTCCTGATGACGACTATGAAGAAATTCCAGCGTCACAGGAGGCAATTCCTGGAGACGAATGGATTGCTGTATCAAAAAAAATGCCGAACGGAGGTGTTGATCAAGTAGAGCCTGGGAGGCGCGAAATTGATGTTCAATACAACTGGAACGCCTCATCAGCAATATTTGATGATCCGGCTCTTCTCAGGAAGCATTTGGAATCCTGAAAACGACTTGAAATCGAAGTTCCAGAACAACAGTCCACTTCCATAGAATTGAATGCAGAGCAGCGCCAGGTGATAAATTAATTTAAACTTTGAGTTTCATAAAACTTAATTTTCAATTAAAATGAAATGTTCCAATTAATTAGAATTACAATAATATTAATATTATTGTAACAATATACAGTGCCATGGGTCAAATACTATCTGCGATAAAATCCTTTGATTAAAACCCTTAGAGAAATGGATCCTTGAAAAATTCCTTCATTATTTCTGACAGTAAATAATATAAAGATTTATTTCTTAATTAATAGTATAAATTTGGTTCATAGTTACCACGAGAGTGGTGAAAAAAAATCGATACTAAGAAAACATGGAATAGCTGAAGTTGGGTTGATAATTTTATTGTTTTATGTTAAATTGAAGTGACTAAATTCCAAGGTTTCCAGTAACCACTGAATGTAGATGATAAATTATAAATGTGTGACATAGTGTTTTCTAAAATTTTCCCCATAATGTTTTATTTATTATCAATCACATAAAAAACATTTTTAGGTTTTGGCCATTCTTGATAGCCAAATAAGTGCAGAGCTGCATGGATCCCCTAATGATGCCATTCAGTTGGTTATCATACAAGGGAAAGCCGGGTGTGGCAAAAGTACAGTCATTAAGTCTATGACATCTCGCCTAAAAGAAACTCCTGGCCTGGGTAGTGCTAGCTATCTGTTGCTCGCCCCCACAGGGTCTGCTGCCCTAAACATCAACGGTAACACGATTCACGCTGCTTTGAGCATACCAGTCAGGACGTCAGGTTACAGACCTCTCGAGGGAGCTGCCAAGAAGAGGTGAGATAAAAAAAATCAATGGATTTGCCTAAATTAACTCAATATAGGCTATCATAGATTATTGTACAGAAAATTGTTTGGATATTGATCAATTTATACTTAGTTTAAAATTAAATATAAGCATCAAGGGTGATTTAATTCATAACATTGATAAAAATATACCTTGAAAAAATCAAAAACTATTTAAAGTTTAAGTAAACGGATTTTATACTTTTAACCATTGAATTTTGATTTAGGGAAAAATCAACTTAGTAGTAAGTGTAGATTAGTGTTATATTTCAATTATATACTGAGAAAATCAACAGTGGTAAACACATTACTTTGTCCCAATGTTTATATGACCCAATAATGGGGGGAAAATAAAATAACCTCCTATTATTTAAACATACTGTACATTAATAATAACAGTTACCTATAATATTATAGCTTTATGTATATTAAATCTACTATATTATGGCCTAAATCCGCCGATTATAAATATCTGTGTCACATACCTGCGTACTCTATTCCCAAATAAAATGCTATATCTTACTTATTTCTTAATAAATGTTGATAAAACTCGGTATGTAGCTTCATATAGTTGAGATCTCCTTTGCTATGGCTTAAAATCCCTGATATAGCAAATAATAAGCTATAGCCCTAGGCAAAAATGATCGAGTTTTGATGAAATTTGGAACGAACTACAAACGTTTAAACATACATTTATTCAAACGAGTTTGCGAACCAGCATGATTGGACTAAGGGAAAAGGGGTTTATGGAAGGTTTTGTGGAGTAAACATTGGATTTCCCAATTTTCAACCCTAAAAACAAAAAAATTAGCAATTTTTTTTAAACCATTAAATAGAATAAAAAAAAACAAATGACTTAAGTTGGTGTATTGATAATTGTCATGCGCTTAATGGTTATGCGAGAAAAATTAAAAAAGCTGTAATCATATGGAGCATAAATAAACAAATGTAGTTTGCTGTTTTATAGATATATTTTGATAAAATTTAGCATATAAATTTACTTTTCCCTATAGGCCCTACTATAAACATTTAGTAAAATTACCTCTTTCCTTCTCTGTAGCAGCAAACCTAAGAACTCGTTAAACTATGTTATTTAGATATTGAAAATTAATAATGTCTTTTTAATGAGATATCAACCAGGCAAATGCAAATTTGCTTAATCTGCAAATTTGCTGCAGTGGGGGTATTTATATTACGTTTACGTTCAACAAAATAAAAAATTAAATGCTTTACAGATTCCTTGAAGACATGGATAAGATCCGTTTCATCATCATCGATGAGTATTCGATGATAGGACTTTCACTTTTTGGGATGATAGAGCAAAGATGTGCAGAATCCAAGCCTCAGTGTAACTCTCAGGTAGTAATTTATATAAAAGTTTTATAATGAATTTTGTTTTTGGCATTTACTAATAACATATCACATTGAAAAATTATTATTCAGTTTGAACTATTGTTATTACTCTCCTCAGCCCTATATTGAGTTATACACAGGTTTGGAACTATTGTGATTAAACATTTTTTTCCACCTTATAACACACATTTTTTTTTAAGTTCAAAATCTTGTTTTTTAATTAAATAAAGAAAATATCAGAAAATATAAGAAAATATATTTTGTGTACCAGAGGTAGAAATGATTAACATTTTAGTATTAGGATTGCATTCTCTTTCTCAATTCTGAAAAAATAATATTATTTGAGAATTTTTTGGGTTTAAGTGAAATTTAAAGCTCTAATTGTAGTACAATATTAATTACCTATATAGATTGCTTATGGATATAAAATAAATCTAACCAAACTAGCTGTCCTTGCTTATAATTATTTATTAATTTTTAGATTTTTGGAGGGATTCGTATCTACCTCATAGGAGACATCAGACAGCTACCCCCAGTTGCAAGCAAACCACTCTATTCCCCATCAGCGAAGAGTGAACTTGAAATAAAAGGAGCATTTGCTGTGTCTCAGTTCCAACATGCTGTTGTCTTGACTCAATCAATGAGACAGACTGATAACACCTTTAGGTAAGCCCATGATTTCGATAAAATAAACTTTGACAATTATTATTATGGCATTTCATAGTGTAAATATTGAATTATGGCTAAATTGAATAATATTAAGTATTTCATACTAGCGGCTGACCCCATGCCTTGCAACGGGATATAAAGCCCTACTTTATGGACAATACTTGAAACATTTTAGTTAAACTGAAACAGCTACTTACATATTAGTAAACAGATTTCTGTGAAGCATTCTGTGGAAACAGTGTGGCACTATTTCAAATTATGACTAATGCAGAATTTTGTGATTATTCAAACCTACAAAACAGTTGGTGAATGTAATCATATGCTTAAATTATATTTACTTGTAAACATTGTCATTCCAAAAGTCTGACACTGGACCTCTTAAAAATCTCTGGGTTTCGGAGTCCATATGTCATATACATACAAACGCACTTCGTCTTTTGTAGATGCAGATTTCGGCACCAGCATGGCAACCTATAAGGCCCATGTCATTTATTTTAAATTAATTTTATGTGCTTATTTTTGCCTTTATCATTAAAGAGATTCTGCACATCTACAGTAAAATATCTTTCTAACAATATGCGTAGATGTTCCCTGCGATGCAAACGAGCTGAGAAAAAAATATAAAGAGATTTTCTTGCCTATTAATATATAGATGATATGTATTAATAGTATATAATTTCATGTATACTATGGAAATTCTAAATTTTTTAATGTGTATGTCATATAAGCATTTCATATATAAATATACTGTGACTCTTTACTAAAAAAATAACATAGTTTTGAGAACAACAATAAACCATTACATAATTTATAATTATTTTTATAGGCAAGCCCTTGACGAGGTTGCCAGGGGTTGTTGCACGGTCGCAACATATGCAGTTTTCAGTAACCGCTTTTATATCAACTTGACGGAAGAAGAACGACGAAACTTCAACGATGCCATTCACATCTTTTCCCTGAGAATGACGGCTAAAGCTTTCAACCTAAACCGACTACTAGGCCTGCATTCCCCAGTAGCTCGCATCCCTGCTAAACACAACAACTTGGTGGCAAGTCAGGGAACTAGCGATGACGCTGGAGGTCTCCAGAAGGTGATCTACCTCGCGGAAGGAGCTTTAGTTGTGCTCAAGGCCAACTTGTGGGTGGCTTCTGGGCTTGTCAACGGTGCCATCGGCGAAGTCGTGGCAATTGTATACGAGTCTGGAAAATCCACCCCAAATGATCTACCAATAGCTGTCATGGTGAATTTCGCCAAATATTCTGGACCGAGGATGCAGCGAGATACATTTCCGATCTCTCCGATAATAAGATCATGGAAGAAAGGAAATGCAACTTGCACAAGAGAGCAGATTCCTTTGGATCTGGCTTGGGCAAGCACAGTCCACCAATCTCAAGGCCAAACATACGACCGGGTAAGTTGTCATTTGATTTTAGGCAAAATATAAATTATTATTCTAAAAATAAATAGCTATAATGTATTTTTACTATATACATGACGTTAATACTATGGCAATTCTTCAATGGGTTTATATTTAAAGGCAATAGTATTTATTTTAATAGTATTTACAGATTCCTTGAAGACATGGATAAGATCCGTTTCATCATCATCGATGAGTATTCGATGATAGGACTTTCACTTTTTGGGATGATAGAGCAAAGATGTGCAGAATCCAAGCCTCAGTGTAACTCTCAGGTAGTAATTTATATAAAAGTTTTATAATGAATTTTGTTTTTGGCATTTACTAATAACATATCACATTGAAAAATTATTATTCAGTTTGAACTATTGTTATTACTCTCCTCAGCCCTATATTGAGTTATACACAGGTTTGGAACTATTGTGATTAAACATTTTTTTCCACCTTATAACACACATTTTTTTTTAAGTTCAAAATCTTGTTTTTTAATTAAATAAAGAAAATATCAGAAAATATAAGAAAATATATTTTGTGTACCAGAGGTAGAAATGATTAACATTTTAGTATTAGGATTGCATTCTCTTTCTCAATTCTGAAAAAATAATATTATTTGAGAATTTTTTGGGTTTAAGTGAAATTTAAAGCTCTAATTGTAGTACAATATTAATTACCTATATAGATTGCTTATGGATATAAAATAAATCTAACCAAACTAGCTGTCCTTGCTTATAATTATTTATTAATTTTTAGATTTTTGGAGGGATTCGTATCTACCTCATAGGAGACATCAGACAGCTACCCCCAGTTGCAAGCAAACCACTCTATTCCCCATCAGCGAAGAGTGAACTTGAAATAAAAGGAGCATTTGCTGTGTCTCAGTTCCAACATGCTGTTGTCTTGACTCAATCAATGAGACAGACTGATAACACCTTTAGGTAAGCCCATGATTTCGATAAAATAAACTTTGACAATTATTATTATGGCATTTCATAGTGTAAATATTGAATTATGGCTAAATTGAATAATATTAAGTATTTCATACTAGCGGCTGACCCCATGCCTTGCAACGGGATATAAAGCCCTACTTTATGGACAATACTTGAAACATTTTAGTTAAACTGAAACAGCTACTTACATATTAGTAAACAGATTTCTGTGAAGCATTCTGTGGAAACAGTGTGGCACTATTTCAAATTATGACTAATGCAGAATTTTGTGATTATTCAAACCTACAAAACAGTTGGTGAATGTAATCATATGCTTAAATTATATTTACTTGTAAACATTGTCATTCCAAAAGTCTGACACTGGACCTCTTAAAAATCTCTGGGTTTCGGAGTCCATATGTCATATACATACAAACGCACTTCGTCTTTTGTAGATGCAGATTTCGGCACCAGCATGGCAACCTATAAGGCCCATGTCATTTATTTTAAATTAATTTTATGTGCTTATTTTTGCCTTTATCATTAAAGAGATTCTGCACATCTACAGTAAAATATCTTTCTAACAATATGCGTAGATGTTCCCTGCGATGCAAACGAGCTGAGAAAAAAATATAAAGAGATTTTCTTGCCTATTAATATATAGATGATATGTATTAATAGTATATAATTTCATGTATACTATGGAAATTCTAAATTTTTTAATGTGTATGTCATATAAGCATTTCATATATAAATATACTGTGACTCTTTACTAAAAAAATAACATAGTTTTGAGAACAACAATAAACCATTACATAATTTATAATTATTTTTATAGGCAAGCCCTTGACGAGGTTGCCAGGGGTTGTTGCACGGTCGCAACATATGCAGTTTTCAGTAACCGCTTTTATATCAACTTGACGGAAGAAGAACGACGAAACTTCAACGATGCCATTCACATCTTTTCCCTGAGAATGACGGCTAAAGCTTTCAACCTAAACCGACTACTAGGCCTGCATTCCCCAGTAGCTCGCATCCCTGCTAAACACAACAACTTGGTGGCAAGTCAGGGAACTAGCGATGACGCTGGAGGTCTCCAGAAGGTGATCTACCTCGCGGAAGGAGCTTTAGTTGTGCTCAAGGCCAACTTGTGGGTGGCTTCTGGGCTTGTCAACGGTGCCATCGGCGAAGTCGTGGCAATTGTATACGAGTCTGGAAAATCCACCCCAAATGATCTACCAATAGCTGTCATGGTGAATTTCGCCAAATATTCTGGACCGAGGATGCAGCGAGATACATTTCCGATCTCTCCGATAATAAGATCATGGAAGAAAGGAAATGCAACTTGCACAAGAGAGCAGATTCCTTTGGATCTGGCTTGGGCAAGCACAGTCCACCAATCTCAAGGCCAAACATACGACCGGGTAAGTTGTCATTTGATTTTAGGCAAAATATAAATTATTATTCTAAAAATAAATAGCTATAATGTATTTTTACTATATACATGACGTTAATACTATGGCAATTCTTCAATGGGTTTATATTTAAAGGCAATAGTATTTATCAATCTACAGTTACGTTTGCATTTAATTTGCTAGGTTCGTATACCTAGACAATTCCATATACTATAATTACTATAATATTACTCTGAACTATAATTTATGGTGCACGTCCAAATAATTTCAAACATTTACAGTTTGATTTGCTATTCATAATTCCTGTACCTGCTTTATAAATCCGTTAAAATATACCAACATATATTAAGTTTCCATTTCAATATATAAATAAATTACTTTTATTATTTTTCAATCATCTAAATTTCAAACATTAGGGCCTGGATAAGGTTTGCCAGAGTGTATTTCAATAGCAAAAATAGGTCTATGTGTTGTTTACGAGTAATAACAATCTACATATATAAAATCATGTAAAGTTTATCAAAGAATCTGTTTAATTTCCAAACAAGAAACTAATAACTTTTAGACTTATATAATATAAATGAAATATGTAAAATTTATCGTAAAATATTTAAAATCATACATCCTCAACTGAGCTAAATCAAAATATAATCGACAAGTCTATAAAACCCCCATTTTATTGAATTTCCCTTATGGACAAGAATCTATTACCATAGGTTGTGTGGTAAGCCTTTAAGATTGAAACCGTTATACATATTCGTTTTGAAGCCCCTATATGCCAAAAAACACTATTAGTTCATTTTAATATGTATATGACTGTATATATATTGTCAGTCAGCACAATAGTAATAAAGAAAATAGTTCGTTAAAATTTTAAACGTCTAAAATAACAGATGCTTAGAGATTCAACTTTCTAACAGAAAAGTTAAAATGAATTATTTGGTTTTTATGTAATACTTTTAAATTATTATTAGGTTGTCGTGGACTTGGGGCGTACAGAGTTCACGATCGGTCTCTCCTACGTTGCTCTCTCTCGCTGCAAGACGTTGGATGGATTGGCAATCAATCCACCATTTATCAGAAAGCGACTGGATGATTTGCATCATAAGAATTCTTTGAAGGTTAGCACTTTTGTGATGAAATAAGTATACATAATATACAATATACATTAATTAATGTATTTCCAATTAATAAAATAGAATGATACTGTAATCTTTTTTATACTGTACTTATTTCCCCTCATATATAGATTACAAGTTTAATCCGTATTTGGTTAATTAATTGAATAAAATATTCTCCCTAACTGGGTTATGTTCCTTTTTGTGTTTTTTAATGCCAGGGCAGTTGTGATGAAAATATTTAATTCATTAAATAGTAATGGATGAATTTGATTAATTAAAATTATAGGCTTATATATCTGTTGATTCATATATTCTTGATTTTTTATCTTATAAAAAGCTAGCAGCAACCAAATTTTTGAACAGGACAGTTGACCTTAATTATGGGAAAATTGAATTTACATTCAAATCAATATTATTTTTATTCTCTTCGAAATGTCAAATTGTAGTTTCTACATATAGATATTTGAATGTTTATATTCCCCTAAAACTTAGATATTGCAAGTACGTTCATGTAGCATCTGAAAAGATTTCATGGAAGTGAATACCTATTTGTCTACAAACAAATTCCAAATCTACCTTTGTGTAAAATTTCAGCCTAAGTTAAATTGTATGTATGTTTTAAACATGTATAAAACTTAGCATACATCCGATTTAAACAAAAATACAGAAATCAAATCGTGGTCATAATATTATAGATATAAATAAACTATTTTCGAATTTTATAAACTTAATAAAGAGTAACATTTTTAATTAAAATAATCATTAAAACAAGTAGGTACCTATTTAAAATAAATATAAATATAGCAAGTTTATTATACTTTCATTACCTATCAAAATGCATTTTTTGTGGAATGACAATCTCAAACCCCCAAGATCACGAAATATTTTAAAAAATAATAAGAATGTAATAAAGTTTTATTATATTGCAATATTTTACCATCAGGACAAACTGCAAGCAGAGGGTAACATCATGAAGATGGCTCAGGGTTTGCCCTTTCGGTTGTCATCATTTATACCTGTGAGGTGTCCACAACCACCTGCACCTGCTCCATCCCCACCACCTGTACCTGCTCCACAACCACTACCTGCACCTGCTCTACCATCACCACCTGTACCTGCTCCACCACCACCACCTGTACCTGCTCCACCACCACCACCTGTACCTGCTCCATCCCCACTTTACCGACCCAAGACTCCTGCTCCACCACAACCTTCTGCACTGCGGGAAGAGACAGTCAGAGTACACGAGGGAATTGTGACCGTTGTCGTGATGCCCGGCGACGGTCATTGCCTCTTCTCAGCTGTCCTTCACCAGCTTGGACTCTCTTCCCCCATTAACCCCAATCATATGGAATTTGTCAAAAATTTACGAAAAAGGGTTGTGGAGTATATTCGTCAGCAGGACTTGCATTCCGGTACATAAATATAACAATCAAACTAAATATACTATAATATGTATTTAAATTAGGTAAAAAAAAATAATTAGTTGAATTCCTAGCCACAATTCAAATTCAAATGCGACCACTAATAAAAATGCAAAATATTATATAAATACATCCCTTGCAGCAAACCTGTATAGTCAGCGAACTTTAATTGATTGAATTGATAATTTAAATAAATATTCAAATCAAGTTTTGTCATTGTATGTTCATGAAAAAACGTACAGAAAAATTCCCTAAAATAATAACAAGCTGCTAACAAAATTCAAAACACCCCGGTTTTAGCAAACCTGCAGTATACATGAATTTCTATTTGCCTGTTTTAATTTTCAATTCAATCTATTTAAAACACATTAGGTTTAACAATTACCTAGGTTTACTGCTACAAGCAGGGTAAAAAGGTGTATTGTTAGTAAAATATTAATAGCTTAAATTAAATAGTATAATTATATTATTATTAATAGTATAAATTAAACAAATATACCAAGTTTGATCAAAAATTTTCTATAAACAAGCAAACCATAACAGTGTTACTTATTCTTAGCAGAATAACCTTTAGAGTTTTAAAGAATTTTTTTTTAAATTTTATCCATAAACAACAGTCATAAATAAAACTTCAATATAGCACATTAAATTAGTTTATTACTAATTATTTACTTAAATAACTAATTAATTATTAATTAATTTATTTATTTAGTCTATTCAGAATAGTTTGTAAAGAAATCGGATTTTTTTTAATTTGAAGGTCAAAAATTAGAACCCCCACTTTTACCTTATTCAACCCCTTTAAAACCCCATTACCATGGTCCGATCATGCTGGTTCAAGAACCTGTACAAAATTTTATCAAAATCATATTAATTTTCCTCGAGATATTGTGCCAACGGGCACACATACTTAAAGAAATTCGCTAAAAGGGAATTTCATGGTATAATTCAACTCAACTATATGAAACATCATACCAAGTTTTAAAAAATAAGGAAGATCCTAGAACTTTTCTTTATTTTCTATTAGGTCATTGAGACAGTTTACTGTGTTTACCTTTATCAATATCCTGTTGCCACTCGACAATAAACTTGAGTTTTTCTATAATTTATTCAATTATAGGGCACACACAGATATTACAAACAATAAATAGATTATGACATACACAGCTTGATTTTAGCAAATTTCCCTATAGGAAAGCCAGAAGTAGCTAATACCGTAAGTGGGATGATAAGACCTGGGTCCGGGACCGATTTACTCTTTTATTTTAATGTCCCCAAAGGCCAAAAACACCATTCGTTTGAATTATATATAAATTTATATATGTATATACATATAGATTTAAATATATATATGCGTACGTGAACACGATAACTATTTTTTCAGATCTTGATGAAATTTGGTTTTAAGTGTAAGGTGGGATAAACTTGAATAGGTTTGCCGATCTGCATCATCGGACCATGGGAACGGGAGTTTATGGAGTAAAAATTGAGTTTTGCCAATTTTACAATATACCTTGTTATATAAAAAAATCAACAAACTTCGAAAAAACGAAATGCAATTATATAGAAATTTTATTTGATAAAATTAAATTTTATATAGGGCTAATCAACATTAAACCTTATGTATAACATTATTGTATCGATATTAAATAAAATTACTTAAAATTATTAGGATTAATAAAAGTTTAATGTTACAGGCCTTTGGCGCGCACAGCTGGAGGACTCTATAAGTGCCAACTTGACGAAATATCCAGCAGTGCGAAATGGAGTTATTGTTCCTTGGGAGGAAAGGTTGAATTGCTTCCTGGAAAATCTTTCTGTGGACGAGTGGGGTGGCACCGAAACCATTGTGACCATCGCTCAATTGCACAATATAACACTTACAACATATTTCGAAGACGGTGGTGATGGTTTTCGGTGTCAAAGGATCATCTCAGGGGGGGAGAGTGATAGGGAAATTGCTATAGTGTACCGGCTCGCAGCTGTTAGGGGATGTGCTGGCCCTGTGAGTCGAGTGCACTATGACAGTTTAATTTGTTTTAATTAAGTGAGTTTGTATATACGTATATTTTAAACTATTTATATATATATTTTTTATTTTTATTATTTATTGCTGTATTATTATTTTTGTAATTTGGTTAAATAACCAATATTAAACATTAATTGCATAATTTCACTACAATCATTTTATTTCAGTTTAAAAGTTTCAAATTCATTGGCAATTTCAAATTACTTGTAGCTTTCAAAAGTATGGAAAATGGTATTTCCAATTTGAAGTACTGTAATGTGTTACAAAATCAAAAGGTTATAGCTAAAATTTTATGAAATTTCTGAACACATTGCCACTTTCAAAGTAAAGAACAATTCCCATAATTTTCAAGCAATATCGCTACAATGTAAAGTAATTAAAACAAATGACTCCAGATTTGAAAATAATGACTTAAGTTTTATTTGAAATAAGAGGAATAATATTACACACACTTGAAATCTTAGTAGGCCTATTTATGCTCTTACTGTACATAAGGGTAAAATTGTAAGAGTAAAATTGTGTTAATAAAATAGTTTGTAACATAATCATTTTACGAAATCCTGAATTTTTGTGAAAAATTATTATTCCAAGTTCTTTATTCTTTGACAAATTGATATAACCATTGACAACAATTAATAAACGGTTACGATATTATATTATTCTTTGTTTCAAAATAATTATCTATGTGTGTGTATATTATGAAAGAAACATATACAAAAATATAAAAATTGTTGTACTAATGCACATTAAAATAACTATTCTGAGTTCACTCATCCCGTTACGCGCAGAATAAGCGTACTCCTAGTTATTATTATAATATAATTATTATATTAAATAATAACATTTTACCTAACCCGCCATGTTAAACTTCCCTATCCCAAGCGTGATGTATACAACTTCCTTACTTCTCGAGTGATGTAAAGTTGAAAAAAATCACTCGGTGATGTAATGAAACCCATTTAAATAACATTGAGTGGATAACTTAAAAAATATACCTCTATGGAGCCAACGACGTTCAACGCTAGAAATCAGCTGTGTCTGTGTGTTTGAATTTTATTGTTATGCTTTGAAGAATTTTCCTAACCTAGCTTTTGTTTGTAAATGAATGTTACTGTTAGAAGATGAGTGAAATTGATAATGAAGCATATTGCTCGTAACCTCCTGAATATTGTCGGGTCAGGTAAAATCTTGTACGTTACACGTTAAGCAAGAGCGTGTTTACATCACTTCGGTGAATTATGCAACTCGCCTTCGCTCGTTGCACAACATTCACCTGCGTGATGTAAAAACGCTCTTACTACACTTGTAATGTAAATAGCTATTACATCACGCAGGTGAATGTTGTGCAACGAGCGGAAGCGAGTTGCATAATTCACCTCACCTAAGTGATGTAAAAACGCTCTTACTACACTTGTAAGTTAAATAGCTATTACACAACTATGTGGTAGGCCCAATGTTTATTTATGAGATTGATAATAGAAATAAAGAAAGATTCTATAACCATAAGTTATGAAAATTATGTTATTGATATATTTCAATGTAAACAGTAGGACAATAACAGTGTAAGTCATACTTTTTTGTAAAAATTTGGTGGCTCTTTGTTTATAAATTCGATCTACTTAACAAGTGTTTGGATTAGGCATGGTACATCTTCCTGTTGCGAGGCACGGGTACAGCATCCAGTTAGATATAATAATATTCATCTAGTTTTAAAGCAAATTTTATCTCGTGTATTAACAATTAGAAAAATCTCAAACTCCCTATTCTGGGTTAATAGTATGGACGTAAGTAAACGGAATTTTCCACTATAGCTTGGTTCCAAACATCCCTATTGACAGTAATATACTTCACTGGGAGCTCAATCAAGATAAGCTCTTGAATACCAAATTTGTTGCTGTCATCTATTCAAGAAGAACAATTACTCCTGGTGTAATGTTGACTTAAATGAATGTAAATGATCTATCACTATTTATAAGTAAATAACTCTTCATATTTTTTTAGAAGTACATACACAAACTACACTGCTTTTATAAACACTCTTTACTAAAATGAGTGATTTAAAATACGTTAATAGTAAATTGCACAATGTGTATAATTTCATCATAATATTTCGAAATCATATCTGTGGATCTGTATCTCCTGTATGCACCTCGTTTCTATAATATTATTGGGATAGTGTTTTAGGCATGGAAGGTTTCCGTCCTATTTCCGATGTTAAAACCGAATACTAATCTTTACCCGTGCTTTCAAAGCTATCTTGTCAAGCCTTTGACCAACCCCTACCGTGGAGTGCAATTTTCATTGACATGTTGAAGTTGTTTCCAGCATGAAAATAAAACGTAACATTAGGACTTGTTTAAATTTGAATTTTTAACTTCTTGACCATGCAAACTGAAATAGAAACTGAACTAACTAAAATCTTTTATGTTTTCAGGCTGGCTTGCTGCAATTTTAAAGGAGATATTTCCTTTTTCTGTTCGTACTGTCATGTAAAGTATAGTAAATTTTATTACAAAATTCGTAACAAGCAACTCCTGGTTCTCATGGAAATTGAATAGAAATCGTAGATTTACAATTCCACGGATGAAATGTGATATAAAATTGGAATATATAAGCATTTCCTACATATTTTCTGTACGATATCTGAATTTCCATAAATTTTCTACATCTTTTATACTAAATATCCACTGGAATATAAGTACATCAGCAAAAATTTCTTTATAGTTTATGGTTGTGAAAAGTCTGCAAAACAGAGCGAACGAATATCAATCACTCCTAGTCTGCTTTATGTTCCATGAACACACATTTTTGCTTGACATATTTAATCTGATTCGGCCAAACCTTTCAAAATCGTAAACATACAGAAAAATCATATATCATACAAACATAACCAGAATAACTAAGATACGCTGCAAGAGACATAACTAATCCATAAATTTATGATTAAATTGAAATTCTTTGTTTGAAGCAATTCCTCTAGTATATAAAATAAGTGCGTTTATTTTGACTTTTACACACTTCTATGATAATGGATTTTCTAAATTTATTAACCGGGGTGAAAATCTATTTTTATGTTAGATTTTGGGAAAACCTTTACTTGTTCGACATAAAGTCTTCCCTTGTCTCCAAACGTGACATGTTTCTAGTCCCAGGATACTTGTGCTATCGATACATGTCGAGACAGATGTTGACAAGTTTCTGTTGTACGTTATGCTTGTGTCACAGTGTCTAAAATGCCAAGTGGTAAAATATAGTAACATTATTTTATATTTTGGACCATACTAAAATATTTAAGCATACATCTACTCTATAAAAGGTAAATTAATTGCTAAACAATGCATTTAGAGATGTTGACCTATTACAAAAGTAAACTCAACTTGGTGCATAAATTATAAGTCAAATGATTTCCCTATATTTATTGTTTTTACCAAACGAGTTTTTGCTGAGGTGCCAATTCTTTTTATATAGTTATTCCTATAGTGAATTGTACATAAGGAGTGGGTAAAGGCTACATCGTTTTGAAATGGACAAATAAAACGTTTCATTTCGAATCATTTGAACGGACATCCAATCATAATTTATACATGATGAATGTCGCAGTTGTCCAGTTTTGCTTTCTTAAGTTGTATATTAAAACCTAGCTCATATGAAATTAGATAATTTAATTCGAGTACAGAGATCTCTGTTTCCTAGAAAAATAAATTATTTAAAAAGTATATTTTCCACAAAATGGGTCGCCATTTCGAAACGAATGAAATGGTAAAATTATGACTCCGCCAAAATGTTTGTATTACATAAAGCTATAAAATAATGTTTAATACGAATTATGTTTGTATTTGACAATTTAGTTCTCAAATAGTAAACATAAGATTTTAATTATCCTTAAACAAAACACATTTAAAATAGATTATTCCTAATTTGAAAAATTCGCTAATAACTGTATATTATTTATTGGTGTTTATTTGGTGGGATAGGAGGGGGTACTTCATTCAATCAATTTAAGACGAACGGTTTGTTTCAAATCAATAATTTCCACCTCAAGTCATCCATCATGAGTTTCCTTCTATGCGAGTCTTCAATTCAAGTTGAATTACTGTATTTGCGAGCATGAAATTCCTTGTTTTTACCAAAGGCTTTGGCTCTCAGCACCAAATCACAAGTTGACTATCTTGTGGCTGTGTTAAGTGTCAAACTAGTTACTGGAGCTGTTGGCTGGCATGTCACCGATAGGACTTGTTGGCTCATAAGATTGATTGCTGCTTTGATATATATTAGGCGTAGCTTATTCAAAATTAAAATTTAATTTATTGTATATAAAATTTAAAATATCCGTTTAAAAGCAAATTTATGTATGTCTACATCATTAACATACCTGTATAAAATTAATGATTCGCAAATTACTGTTGTTTTCTTTGCTTAGCTAAATCTAGAATTTGAGCTGTAAAGTGTATAATATAATAAATAGTGTAATTTTATTTAAGAAAAAAACTCATCTACAAGCCAATGCCTGAATTTTAGTCACGTTGTTGGAATGCCATGAGTTTAACCATTGACTATACACGTTATGGTATATAGTCAATGGTTTAACTTACTTAAATAAGTGCAACTTTGGTGTAAAAAAACCACTCGCTTCATAAAAACAAAAACAGGAAATATCCGACATTTTATAATGGAGCAGTGAGTAATGCTATCTGACATATTATTACAGCCCTATTTGATTATTCTTTTTTCTTCTTTCACAATTATAAATGTATTTGATTTGAAATAGTTCCTAAAATAGCGGTATTGTACTTGTAGATGAGTGAACGAAGTGAACGAATCTATGTATCGTGTATAGCGGAGTCGGAGAAAAGTTGTCCGCTGGAGTATGTGTGTGTGTGTGTTCGCACCTAAAACTCAAGAACCATTGCACTTATAGCGTTCAAATTTTGCACAAATAATTATGACACCAGTGGGAAGACCTCATTAAAATTCTAGACGATT